AGAAAACAAAAACACTAGCAATTTCAAATGGAAATTTCTTTTTTTTTTTTTTTGAGACAGAGTCTCAAGCTGTTGCCCTGGGTAGAGTGCTGTGATGTCACGGCTCATAGCAACCTCAAACTCTTGGGCTTAAGCGATTGTCTTGCCTCAGCCTCCCACGCAGCTGGGACTACAGGTGTCCGCCACAATGCCCAGCTATTTTTTGGTTGTAGTTGTGATTGTTGTTTGGCAGGCCAGGGCTGGATTCGAACCCACCAGCTCCGGTGTATGTGGCTGGTGCCCTGGCCGCTGAGCTACAGGCGCCGAACCTGTAAGTCATTATTAAATGTTTCTTTCTGAGAAACTAAATTTGTCACCCTCTTTCTTTGGCTTCTCAGCTCCTTTGGCCTTTGGGAGTAGACTTATTTACCACAAAACACAGATATATAGAACTAACCAAGTACAAAGCAAGGAACTTCACCACCCAGGTCATCAGTCTCCACATCTATAAAATGGGAATAATATTCCTTTCCTGTTCTAAGGACTAGATGAAATAATAAATGTAAAACAGTAATCCTAATACTTTGGGAGGCTGAGGTGGGAGGGTTGCTTGAGGCCAGGATTGTAGACCAGCTTGAACAAGAGCTAGACACCATCTCTACAAAAAAATAGAAAAATAAGCTAGGTGTTATGGCAGGTATCAGTAGTCCCAGCTACTGGGAAGGCTGGGGCAGGATCAGTGCTGCTCATCCCAGGAATTTGAGGTTGCTGTGAGCCAGGCTGATGCCAGGACACTCTATACTGGAGCAGCAGAGTGCGACTCTTGTCTCAAAAAAAAAAAAAAAATAGATAAATTAGCCAAGAGTAGTGGCACATGCTTATAGTCATAGCTACTCAAGAAGCTGAGGCAGGGAAGGTACCTGTAGCTCAGTTGGTAGGGCTCCGGCCACATACACCCAAGCTGGCAGGTTTGAATCCAGCCCAGGCCAGCTAAACAACAACGACAACTGCAACAAAAAAATATAGCCGGGTGTTGTGGCAGGTGCCTGTAGTCCCAGCTACTTGGGAGGCTGAGGCAAGAGAATTGCTTAAGCCTAAAAGTTTGAGGTTGCTGTGAGCTGTGATGACACAGCACTCTACTGAGGGCAACATAGTGAGACTCTGTCTTAACAACAAAATAGGGTGAGACTCTGTCTTAACAACAAAAAAAAAGAAGCTGAGGCAGGAGGATCAGTGGAGCCTCGAATTTGAGGTTGCAGTGATCTGTGATGGATGCCACTATACTCTAACTAGGGTGACAGGGTAAAACCCTGTCTGAAAAACAATAAATAAACAAATAAATACATGTAAAACATGTTGTCCAGAGTCTGGCACAATGAATGTCAGTTCCTCTCCCCCTTTCACATCCTTGGCCTTTTTTTTTTT